TAAAACAGGCCGCCGAGGCGTTCCAACACCGGAGGAAAGAGGCCGCTACCCGAAGCAGGCCAGTCGGGCCTCCCTCCCGATTTGAAACGAGAGGCAGCGGCCCTCCGCGTCGAAAAGGATACCAGCACCAAGGCTTTAGCTGCTTCTTCTTCTTCCGACCCATGGCGGAAAGGCAACGGCTCGGCCGGCAAAAACCTCCCAAAACAGCGAATGTGACGGAGCGCGACCGCCGACCGCGCGAACTCCCCTCTTCTCCGCTTCTCAGCCAGGCATAAAATGGCCGCTCCTCCGCCGAATCCCTCGCCGTCCCAAAATGCAACGCGGGGAGGGAGGGCACGTGTATGGTCGAGGAGACCTCACCAATTGTGACGTCACCCGTTCTTTCCCGGCATGCGGTGCAGCGGAAATTATCTTCTAGTCGATGCGCGCGTCTTGCCCGCGTGGGTTGGTTTTTGTCGGTGTTCTTTCCCCTTAGTTGATTCTTTTAAAACACTGAAGTTTTACTTCGGGAGAGAGATGCGCAGGAGGCAGCCAAGCTCAATATCCTTGTCCTAAAATTGTTGCTTGCCGTTCTTTAGTTTAGAAATAGTGATGACTTTCATGTTCTTTCCACCTGAATAAGATTGTTTCTGCAAATGAATCAGATTCTTCCCGCTCGATGAGATCTTTTTTTTTAAAAGCAGCGAGGATGCCGCTGCATCTTCGAAGGCTTATGTAGCTCAATCTTGTACCTGCGTGCTAGGAAATGAATCCCCTTAAGATTCAGTGGAAAGCTAACGGTATTATAATTGAACATTGAGAAAATCTGTGGCGTTCTGAAAGAGCATTAAGTTAGACAAGGACTAACTAACAATTTGACCGTCCCATCACGTATATGCCTATTTGAGTTCTACTGAGATCAGTAATTCGTGTGTAAATCAAATCAATTTATTATAGCCCAAAGGTTAGAAGTAAACATAAACAAGTTTACAATTAGAATGACTTTTATTTAGACAAATCGTGAATGTAATCCCACTGATTTCAGTGACAATAAACTAATGCCGATCCAATGCAGCGTGCTGAGCCGATTTTTTTAAAAACTCCGTAAAATTGGGGAATGAATGTTAACTGAACCAAGGCGAGTCTTGAAGAGACACGTGTGTGTGCGCGCACGCCTGCAACATCCTTCCAATTTCAGGAGTCCACGGCTGCCTCTGTCTTTTGTCGGCCGTGACAACGTGTTTGTGACCGGAACCTTTGTGACGCTATGTGGACAGAGTGCGGAGCCGAGAAGAATAGAGCGTTGCGCTGTACGGCAATAGGGGGAACGGATTTTCTTTGCTTCGAGTTCGCAAGCAAAGATGTTGCCTTCCCTTCAGGAGTCCGTAGACGGAGATGAGAGAGAGCTGGAGAGCAGCGAGGAGGGAGGCGGCTTGCCCGAGGAACCGAAACCGGAGCGTAGCAGCAACAGTTACCACTGCTTGTACGGCTACCGAGGCTCCGGGTAAGAGAGCGGCAGCTGCTCCGCCGGGTCTTGTGTTTCCAGCCTGAATCATAAAAGGCTGCAGATCTCTCTTACCAATCCTTCATCGTGTTTTATGATAATCCAGCCTTTCCGAATTTGGGGGTCTTGGATGAATTCATTTCGCGGTCCCACCCCGTTGGCTGAGAGCGATGGGGCTTGTTATTCAATTCATCTGGGGTTCACCGGATTAAATGTTTGGTAACAGTAAAAATGGTTGATCGAATAAATCCAATTTAGTCCAGTTTCTAGTTTCCATCTGTGATCATGTAGAAGGTTATGTCTGCTCATGAAATCTTGCCTCGATTCCCCGCCCCCGGATATTGATTTTCCTTCAAAGGACTATTGTGCATGTTTCCAACCAATAGGGTCCTGAACTTTCTTTTGCCAATTGGGCCTACAATACTTGCTTATGTCGTGGATCCATCTTGTTGTAGCTCTCTTTTGTGGATGCTTTTTATCAAGTGGGATCCATTCTATGACTGCCTTGGTCTACCGGCCTTCAGTTCTTCCTGCTGTGTTGACCAGCCCGTTTCCATTTCAATTCTTTTACTCTCTTGATAGCATCATATACTTTTGTTTGTTCTCTAATGATCCATGTGCAGGTCTTTCTATCTTGTCTTGTGATGTTGGAAACATGCGGAAGAGGCCTTCATCCTGCAATGGATTGGCAATGACTAAAATGATGATGATGATGATGCAAATGAGAGCCAGTTTGCTGTAATATAGTGATTAAGGGTTCAGGCTAGAAACTGGGAGATCATTAATTCTAATCCCATCTTAGATACAAACCCAGATGGGTGACCTTGGACCAGTCCCTATCGCTAAGCTCTAGGAAGCAAGCAATGGCAAACCACTTCTGAAAAACCTTGCCAACAAAACTGCAGGGACTTGTCCAGGCAGTCTTCAAAAATCAGACAGAATTAACAGAAAACAAATTGCTATTAAAGGAGGTCTGTCAACAGATGAATTTATCTAATGAAACTCTTCTGGGTTGTTCAGCGGGCTGCTCAAAACAAGGTACCATTCGCCCATTGTGAATCCAAAGTACTAGAGTTGCCTATTCAATTCCCAGAAATCCCGATCTGCTCTTCCCAGTCCAGGTTTTCATTCCCTCTCTCTTAGAACAATGATAGTAATAATAATAGGTGTTGGAGTTTTCTATAACCACATGCATTTTGTCTTGACATTCATAATTAGTTTGACTTTTTCAGATTACACCAAGGAACAAGCAGTGATGTTGGGAGTCCAAGCAAATCGTCAGCTGAAACACCTTCAGATGACTTCAGGTAAATGAACTTGGCAGAATGATTTTGCGTGCTGTATCTTGGATTGTTATAATAGAGGGGTATGTGCATATCACTTGTTCCCATTAACCGTTTTTAATTGTTACCAAACATGTAACTTGATGCATTATGAATGCACAAGTGAATTCTTTCTGGATCTGATTTAAGGCTGTGCTTTTGTTCTAATTTCTGAATAGGTTGAGGGTCAACTATCTGAGGAGTTCCCTAGCTCAGTGTAAACTGTTCGTTTAAGGCAGTGGTTCTCAACCTGTGGGTCGGGACCCCATTTGGGGTTGATCGACCATTTCACGGGGGTCGCCAAGCAAGGCTGTCCGCCATTTTTTTTGTCCGCCATTTTTTTGTCTGCCATTTTTTTCCCCTTTTCCGGCGGGTGCCTTACTTCCCTTGGTCTGGGCCAGCTGGTGGTCGGCCTGCTCCGTCTCTGCCGCTTGCCAGCTATGCCTCGGCTGGCGCAGGGGGCGGAACCACGCATGCGCGGCGCTCCTGGGCAGGGAAAGTCCTCGACTTACGACTGGTTGGGTAGTCCTCGACTTACAACCAGTTTAGTCCTCGACTTACGACCGGTTTAGTCCTCGACTTACGACTGGTTGGGGTTGCGGCATTAAAAAGGTTGAGAACCACTGGTTTAAGGCTAGCTGGAGTATCTTGACAAAGATTTCTTACTTTCCTAGGCCGATTTGTCAAGCATGTGGAATTGCACTCATATCCCATTCTTTCTATAATGAGATGGTAGAAGCAATAATGATGTGGCAAACATCTCAGAAGGGACCCCCCCCTGTTTTTAGGGAGGAGGAAGAGATGTACTTTCAGACTAGCAAGATTCTGATGATATCACCTTACAATAAAATTGTAGCTACTACAGGTAGTTCTCGACTTTCAGCCGTTCATTTAGTGACCGTTCAAAGTTATGACGGCACTGAAAAAAGTGACTTATGACCGTTTTTCACACTTATGACCTTTGCATCATTCCCATAGTCACGTGATCAAAATTCAGACACTTGACAACTGACTCATATTTATGACGGTTGTAGTGTCCCAGAGTCACATGATCACTTTTTGAGACCTTCTGACAAACAAAGTCAATGGAGAAGCCAGATTCACTTAACTACTGTATTACTAACGGTAATACGGTTACTAGCGATTCACTTAATTGTGGCAAGAAAGATCGTAAATGGGACAAAACTCACTTAACAAATGTCTCACTTAGTAACATAAATTTGGGGTCCAATCGTGGTCGTAAGTTGAGGACTACCTGTATTTCTGGGTGTGCTTCTTACCTGGAATTCCTCAGAAGGCTGACATCAGTCTTGCAAGTCTCAAAGGGCTTCTCTCCCCCATTTGTCTTTACCATCCAAGAAACTAGAGAGGGAGCCTTCTGAGATGTTTGCCATGCCCATGTTGCTTCTGTGGGCTAAGCTGCCTCTTATCTGACTGTTGTCACTTCTGCAGCTCTTCCTCTTTCTGTCTTCTGACAGATTATTTATGAATCTAAGTCCAGCCCACCTTGAATTCTTTTTGACTCTTATCTATCACCAATTTGTTTTGACCTTTAGTAGTTCAGATTCTTGTGGAGGAGAATATTAGCGTACAATTCACCTATATTCATTTGAACTGCCTGGACTCCTTATTTCCTGCGCTTGACAAATAAATATAAAAAGTATGAGAGCTCATTAATATATATTTTTATGTATTTCCCAGCCTGGAAGAAATTTGTCAACATTCTAAGAACAGATACTTAAAAAGAAGCGAACTAATTTTATTGCTACTATTACAAATGGAACTCCTGTTCCTAGTATGAGCAGTGAATAAGGATAATTATAGAAAGGGGGGGAGGAGACCAAATCAAGGAAAATTTAATTGAGAAGTTTATGGTCCTCAGTTCTATGCTTTCGTTCCTGTCTGTAATTCATGCACATTGAAACATATGGAGTTGTACCATAGTTCAAATGATTGAAGCGTGCAACTTTTTGGCTCTTGGTTTTATTACAAGTAGTGTTTTGATTGTTTATTTAAATGGGACATGCCTGGAACTTCATACTCAACTGGAAGTGGTATCTTTTTCTTTGAAAGTTTGACAATTATTCTCAAGTACTAAGGACTGGTCTATAACTAAATAGATACAATGAAGCTCTATCTTACCTAATCATGGTTTTTTGTTTTGTTTTTATTTCATTTATGAAGCCTTTCATTGGTGGACACTAATTTACCAGCTGAAGCTGAGATGGAATTGCGCAGTTTGGTTGCCAAGCATCTTAACAAAGGAGCTTTGTTTGAGGGGATGGGCAATGTTGTAACTGTCGAGTTGAGGTAAGGCTGTAGATATTTACTGGGACTTCCAGTGATATCAAGCAATTTTAATTAATTGTAGATTTCTTAATAAATTAGTGATGCCATTTTTTTTTACTAAATTGTGTGTAAACAAAATGGGAATGTCGTTTTAAGTTTTGTTTTACGAGTCAAAGATTGAACAGTGCTATTTCTGAATTGTCTCATCCTTGTCATGCCTTTGAAGTGTTGGTTGCAGAACAAAGTAAAACAAGCTCTTCTCCCTCCCAGCTCAAAAAACTCTTCTGCCTTTTAGAATGATGTTCTGGTCCTGATCCTGTGGTATTTTTAATATCGGTCCAACTAAACTAAGTTGTGGAAATTACAGGTAGTCCTAGACTTACAACCACAATTGAGGGCAAAATTTCTGTTGCTAAGTGAGATCATTGTTAAGTGAGTTTTCCCCATTTTGTGGTCTTTCTTGCCACAGTTGTTAAATGAATCACTGCAGTTGTTAAGTTAGTAACACAATTGATAAGTGAATCTGTCTCCCCCATTGACTTTTGTCAGAAAGTCTCAAAAGGTGATCACATGACCCCAGGATACTGCAACTATCATAAATATGACTCGGTTGCCAAGCATCTGAATTTGATCACGTGACTACGGAGGTGCTATAGCGGTCATAAGCATGATAAAACAGTCATAAGTCACTTTTTTCAGTGCCATAACTTTGAATGCTCACTAAATGAACTGCTGTAAGTTAACTATTTGTATTCATATACATACTCATTATCTAAGCTCTTAATGACAGCTTTAATAACTGTAAAATTAAGGGTTTCAAGAGCTTAAGCTTACAAAAGACAATATGCATATACTCTGAATTCTGAACTATAAACTTCATCTTACTATTATTCAATGAATGTTCTCTTCATCAATGAAAACAGGTAGAATAAGCTTATACTGAACTCTGATAGTGAGCTAGGTGCCTGGCAATATATTTCATGTTTACATTTAATGGGAGTGTGAATACATATACCACTGCAAGGGCTAGCCCTTTGGAGGGAAGGGGGGGTTGACTTTTGTGTATCATTAAATAAATATAGGATCTAGTGCAAGGGTCTTCAAACTTGGCCCTTTTATGACTTGTGGACTTCAACTCCCAGAATTCCTCAGCCAGCATGCCTAGCTGAGGAATTCTGGGAGTTAAAAGTCCACAAGTCATAAAAGGGCCAAGTTTGAAGACCCCTGATCTAGTGAATCTACGGGCTTGTAATCACCACACATGAAGCACTACAAGTAGTTAAGGCAACTTCTGATCCTCTAGAGGGTGCTGCACTAAAACTCTGAACATTTTGCCTCACTGGCTGTGCTGGCTGGTATTGAGGGGATTAATATTTTAGCAACACCCGATGGAAGATGGCAGGTTTCCCAACCAGGAAGTACAAGAGCGTCCGTTAATTGTTGCATCACACTACCAGCCAGGCAGAAGGCTGTTGCATAGAATTGTGTAGATGTTTCCTCATGTTGTAATACTTCAGGGTGGGAGGATGGGGGTGGAGACTGCAGTGCTCAAGACTACAACTCAATCTCCCAGTCAACCATAGGCGGTCAGTGCTCAAACGAGCAAAATGAAAATATTTTCTGCAGTTTTTGCAGAAATTAGGATGGGCTAAAAATGGAAACAAGAGTAGGAGGTTTCCGGCAGGCAACCCACTCTTATCAGAAAAACCAGTCGAAATTGCAGTTTCAAAGGAAGAGCCCTCCCTTCCTTCCCTTAAAAAAAAAAAGTGCTGAGTTGTTTTGCCACCAAAATGGGTGCTGCAGTGTTAGAAATGGGATGCTGAAGTTTACAGGTTGCCCACCCCTACTGTACAGCTCTTGTTTAAAAGGAACTCCCAATTTAATGGGGCTATTCCCAGGTTAATGAACAACTGTATATGTGATTAGAGCCTAAATCAATTTTAAAGTATTGCCTATTGTGTGCTCTTTGCAGTTTTTTGGAAGGGCTGAACTTATTAAGAATAGCACGGCTAATACTGGTGCCTGATCATCCTTGAAAAGCTAAGGAGGGTCAGAAAGAGATAGGACTTGGATCCTGAGCAACCAGGAACTGCTAAGCTAGATGATAAGTCTGGGAATTGGAAGGCAAGAGCAAATTACATTCATAATATTGTCGAGAAAACAAGAAGAACTTATCCGGCAGAAATAGTCTTCAAGAGTATTTTTCCTTTTGTTTTCCTGAGAATATTTAACAACATTTAATTCATCTGATCAGTTTAATGACCATTTCATCCCTTTAAAAGGCACATATTGAGTTTGGTTGGAAAACTTGTAAATAGAGTGAAGGGTCCCAGCAGAAATTATCAGCAGACTTTGCTACCCACCCTACATTTTTTCCTTGGTACTGGAATACTAGACAAGGGAGCCATGAATTCCTCATCTAATCTCTGTCTGTTTTAATTACTCTTTCATTCATACCATTCTTTGATCCGCTGAATTTTAAAAAGCAGGCTAGAGGGCAGGAATAATCTCTTCCAGGGACTAGATCTAGCCAGAGAAATGCTAAATGACAACTCCACCCAAACGCATTGAGAGTTAGCGATTTTTTGTTTCTGAAACACTCGTTTTGGCTATGTTTTATCTTTATTTAATCCATTTCATGTTTATAGACTACAGGTAGTCCTTGACCTATGACCACAATCTATCCCAAAATTTATGTTGCTTACTAAGGGAGGTAGTTATCAAATGAGTTTTGCTCCATCCATTTTGCAACTTTTTTTGCCACAGTTCTTAAGCAAATCACTACAGTTGTTAAGTGAATCACACGGTCATTAAGCGAATCCAGTTTCTCCCATTGACTTGGTTTGTCTGAAGCCAGCTGAGAAGCTTACAAATGATGATCACACGACCCCGGGATGCTGCAACTGTAATAAACACTTGCCAGTTGCCAAGCAACCAAATTTTGATCATATGACCGTGGGGATGCTGTGATGATCATGAGTGTGAAAAACGCTCATAAATTGCTTTTTCAGTGCCGTTATAACTTCGAACAGTCACTAAACGAATGCTTGTAAGTTGAGGACCACCTGTACACAGGAATAGCAGGCGAGTGATTTGGCTTTCCATTCACCAGCACTGGTCTGAGGTGGAATCAAGAGGCTGACAGAAATATGAAGCAAAGTGTATTGACTGGAGTTAACAATCTGCGTAGATTCTTGCCTCTGGAGGTTGATTCTGACTGAATTAAAATAAGGGCTTTGTTTGTAATGAGATCGATGAACAGGTAAACCGCAGTATGAAATACAGCATTAAACTAATTTGGTGCAACCACCCCTGTGATTAATTCAGTATTCCAGAAACTCGAGTTGGTTGTTATTACTGCCTGTTCCAGCCAGAAAAATGTGCAGAAGGAGCTGATCCTGAATCGAAGGAGAGTCCCTTGGAGTACGTTATCTGTTTTTTGGGAGGCTCAGAGAAGGGACTTGAACTATATCCTTTTACTCTTATTTCTGTCTGGGTTAAAATGGGGATGAAGTAGGAAAGTCCTTTTTTTAAAAAAAAAATCCCATTGTTCTGATTGTTCTCTTAAATTAGGTCAGAGTTCATACACATTCCCAAATAATTTTTTTAGACTTCTGAGAATATCAGTTATACCCTCCTTATCTTTTCGTAAGGGCCTAAAGCAGAGGTAGGCAACCTTGGCTCTTTTATGACTCATGGACTTCAACTCCCAGAATTCCTGAGCCAGCCATGCTGAGGGGAAAGGGAGAGGTTTCCATGCTGAGCCATGCTGGCTCAGGAATTCTGGGAGTTGAAGTCCATGAGTCATAAAAGAGCCAAGGTTGCCTACCCCTGGTCTAAAGACATGGCTGTGCCAGTCGGTTTGGGGCCCCAGTGGGGGAACAGCGCAATGGAGGTGGTTGATTGAGTAATAATGGATCCCACCTCCCCCCCCACTTCACCCCACCCTCCCCATTTGATTTTAACATTTTATGTTTTAACTAAGATGTACCTGTAAGCCGCCCAGAGTTACCCGATGGTAAGATGGGCAGCCAATACATTTTATAAATAAATAAATAAATAAAAATATCTGGATGTTTAAAATATCTTTAGCAGACGTGCAGCACATCAGTTATAAAATGAGTTAAACATAAAGATTAGGCAGAACCGAAGCATTATTTCCTTAAAAGTGATACATTCAGACTTGAGCTTGATGGATACATTCAAGATATGAAGACTTATTTAGATTCAAAGGTAAGTCTTGATGAATAAATTTGAATTTAATAAATTTTGAATGACTCCTTCAGTTTTTCTCTCCCCCCTCCCCTCACAAGATGGAAAACGTTGGTTGCTTTATGAGCAGTTTGTCAAACTGAGATGCTTGGAAGTTATTTTGAGTTCCCTGTGAAGATCCCTAATCAGAATTGCTTATCTAGGATAAGGAAGGCTAGATGAGGAAGACAAGTTCATTTTCCTGATCCTCAATCACTTAAGGAGGCATTAGAGAAATCTTGATTAAAGAAGCTTTATCTCACTTCCCACGCACTGGTGTGCTGTAGGCCTGTTTTTTGTGATCTTGGCGGTAGAGTAGGAAAGGGATCTGGCATTTCCAAGTTACTTAGAAAGAAACTAGATTCTGTTTCAAGATCAAGACGGAAAATTGTTTGCTACCTTGTAGCTGGAAGAGAAACAGGCTAATCTGACTGTTGATTCTCCTGCATCTCTTAGCGGTTTCCAGTATTATCTGCATGGTGTCCCTCTAGAGTGTTCATGTTGCTTGAGAATTGAAAAATTGGCCTTCAAGAATTTTGTATAGAGTTTATAGTTGTTCTGTGGGAATCAAGCTCTTTATGAGCGTAATTATGTGGAGAACCTCAAGATTGTCATACTTCATACTATCTCTGTGAAAATATTGGACATCATTCAAGCTAAGGAGTGCTGTGTCACCCACATGCCACCAACAGCCGTGGTGATGCAGTGGTTAGAATGCAGTATTGCACGCTGACTCTGCCGACTGCCAGCAGTTCGATCCTGACTGGCTCAAGGTTGATTCAGCCTTTCATCCTTCTGAGGTTGGTAAAATGAGGGCCCAGATTGTTGGGGGCAATATGTTGGCTCTGTAAATCGCTTAGAGAGCGCTATAAAGCACTGTGAAGTAGTATATAAGTCTAAGTGCTATTGGTATTGACGCTTTGACACCCAACACACCGAGATCTCTCTTAGTTTTGAATGTGTCACTTCTGAATGCTGCTAATATAGTTCTGCTCTCTAAAGAGAAATCTTGAAAGAAGTATCTATTCTAGTTTGCAGATTACTTTTAGGCATATAGGGAAATTCAAATGCTGTCTTTACAATAGCTTGGCATCCCTTATTGGGGATTTGCCTTTGCCTAGTAGAGTTGCCTGGTCTTTGCATGTGGGCTGGTGCTGGCACAAGGAATTGCTGGGGAATAATTCAGGCTTGAAAGCCTCAATAAAGACTCCTAACACTCATGGTGTGTGTGTGTGTGTGTGTGTCCTGAACTTGCGTTAATGGAGTGTAGCTTATTGTGATTCACCACAAACACTTTTAGCATCTCTGGAAGTTTCAAGAATAATTTGTAAAATAGTACAGGAGGACTATATCTATTAAAAGACAGACTAGGGAGGAGGGACTCTATTGCTTGTATGAGCTTAATACAGCTATTTGGATAAGCTATTACGCTGCTACTTCTCACTCACTTTCTTGATTCAAGGTAGCAAATTAGCCCCATGGGAAATTTTGTAGGCTCCTGGAATAGGAAATGGCTGAAAAGTAATCAACACTTTCAAAAGAAGCTGTCCCAAGTTGTTTCACTGAACTCCCCTTTACAGTCACATATCCTGTAGATGATCAACTGTTATTTTAATTGGATGCAGCAAAGCAACCTGGAGACCAGCATTCAACCGCTCCTGAGAACTTGGTTTGAGGATTTGGTGTGCCCTATTCAGAGGGTGGTGAAGCTTTTCCAGGAGAAACTTGCCTTTGTGTTACATGCTGTGAGTACCATACAAAGTTCACTCTTCTTGGATCTTTGTTGTGCTTTTGTTTGAGTTTCTTGTTCAACGAGTTGCCTTGTTTATTAGTTGCTTTAGCTGCAACTTTTGTGATAGTCAAAGTATATACAATAAGACTTCACTACTTCAAACAATCTTTAATTGCGCATCGTGTCACCTAGCGTGTGGCTCTTTCTCGAAATTTTACCGGGCACGGTGAGGGTGGAGGGGAGACACACATTAGATGACGTGATGTGCTAGTTGCTGTCCTTAACATATTATTTCTTTACCTTCAGGAAAGCAACACAACATAGCAGTAGAACTATACTGCAAGGGGCTGTTTGTGGGAAGCGTGAATGGCTTAAGCAATTTGGTCAGAAGTAAGGTTTCGACAGCTTGAATAACATCATCACAACACCTTTGGCTTTAAGGGGCACTAGCTTTAAGTTGTACATATAATTCATTTTAAAATTGGGCCAGCAGTTTTAGGCACATGGATTTCCCTTAGTTACATGTTTTTAAATATATACATTCAATTATGCTTAGAGAGGGCTCTTAGCTCAAAGAGTTTGAAAAACAGTTTCTCTGCAGATATGAGAGAGAGAGAGAGTAAAATAGGTAGGATGCCAGAAATAACGTCTTCTTTCAATAGAGTTTGACTGTTCTTGATATGTTGGCCTTTGAGTCAGTGTTGACGCTTGGTGATTGTCTGGATAAATTCCTGCAGTTTTCTTGATGAGATTTTGGAAGTGGTTTGCCTAAGATGGGACTAGAATTCCTAACTTTAAATTACTACACCAAACTGGCTCTAGTTCAGTGGTGGCGAACCTATGGCACGGGTGCCAGAGGCGGCACTCAGAGCCCTCTCTGTGGGCACGCGCACCATCGCCCCAGTCCTAGGCCTTCAGCTGGGTTTTATAAAACCTTTTCGCTTTAGGCCTCCGCCGTGTGCAAAAGAAAAAGTTTCAATCAATCAGTCAATTTCAACTTCTCACGAGGGGGGGGCAATAGATCTTGCAAAGTTGGAATTGATTGATTGAACTTTTTAGTCCCACCCAGTCTGCCGTTACCACCGCAGCCACGTCCACCCAATGGGCCACGCCCACCCAATGGGCCACACCCACCCGGCACCCGACAATGCATAAGTGGGTTTTGGGTTGCAGTTTGGGCACTCGGTCCCTAAAAGGTTCACCACCACTGCTCTAGTTTATCAATATTTGAGGTCAAATTCTTGCTTGATCAGGAAGCCCTCTGGCCTTTGCTCATTATCATTTTAACACAACTGAAGCTGTTTGAAAATAAAATGGAAGCCAGGGAGAAGTTTACATACACAGATGGTCCTTGACTTGCAATCATTCATTGAGTTCAAAGTTACAACCACACTGAAAAAAAGTGACTTATGATCAGTTTTCACACTTAACAATCGTAGCAGCGTCTCCACGATCACACGATCAAAATTCGAATGCTTGGCAACTGGCATGTATTTGTGACAGTTGCAGTGTCCCAGGGTCATTTTTTGCCACCTTCTGACAAGCCAAGTCAATGGGGAAGCCAGATTCACTTAACAACCCTGCTAATGCTTAACAACTGCAGTGATTTTTTAACCACCGTGGCCAAAAAAGGTCATTAAAAACGGGGCAAAATTCACTTCACAATTGCTTTGCTGAGCAACAGAAATGTTGGGCTAAATTGTGGTTGTAAGTCGAGGACTAACCTGTACATGCTGAGGGGTCGGGAAGAGGAAGGAAGGATAAAAACGAACGGACAGATGTTCAACTGACACCTGTTGAAAATGAAATTGCTGGTTGATAACAGCATAACCTTTTACATCTGCTGGGCAATAAGGCCAAGTGTTTCCTGAGACAGATAAAAGAGTGCAGAATTGCAGTCTTAAGGCTAGGTCATTATACCAAGTGGTGACGCTGGGTCTGCTCTTTCCAGGCTCTGAGTTGCAGTCCTGTTGAAGTGAATGGATCTGAAGAAAAGACAGAGAAGGATATCAACAGGTAAGCAAAGGTCCCTCAGGATGATATTTCTCGGGGGCACCCTTGCTCCTTTTGAGATAACTGCTTAACGGAACTTGACTCTTGACTTATACATCCTGGAAATCTGTTTACATTCTTTTCCAGGTTCCTTCGAGCAGCAAGTTTTCAAGATCTGGTCAGGGAGACTATGATGACTTCCTCGTGCACAGCTGCAGCAACAGAGGAGCAGTGCAAATCAGTGGTGATTGACTTGAATGGGCCACAGCTTTGCTTCCACAGCGCGGGTAAGCTTACGAAGGAGATGCTTTAATAATAATAATAATAGTAGTAGTAGTAGTAGTAGTAGTAGTAGTGTAGTAGTAGTAATAGTAATAATAACAATTGCAAAAGGCGGCCTTACTAGGAACTGCTTCCATCCTGTGATGATATCTGTAATACCATCAAACATCCACATCTGCCTGTCCCAGGTCCTGGGTAAGGACTCGATAGGTAGACAAAAATGCCAAATCCAGTCTGAACATCTGGCTGACTGTGCGATGATTAATAATAATAATAATAATAATAATAATAATAATAATAATAATAATAATAATAATAATAAAGTTGGAAGGGACCTTAGAGGTCATCTAGTCCAACCCCCTGCTCAGGCAGGAAACTCTATACCATTTCTGACAAATGGCTGTCCAGTCTCTTCTTAAAAATTTCCAGTGTTGGAGCATTCACCGCTTCTGGAGGCAGGTTGTTCCACTGGTTAATTGTTCTCACTGTCAGGAAGTTTCTCCTTAGTTCTAGGTTGCTTCTCTCCTTGGTTAGTTTTCACCCGTTGTTTCTTGTCCTGCCTTCAGGCGCTTTGGAGAATAGCTTGACTCCCTCTTCTTTGTGGCAGCCCCTGAGATACTGGAACACTGCTATCATGTCCCCCCTCGTCCTTCTCTTCATTAAACTAGACATACCCAATTCCAGCAACCGTTCCTTATATGTTTTAGCCTCCATTCCACTCCACTTCTAGCACCTGAGTGGTGCTCAGTAACAAGAGCACAAGGAATGTTGAGAGGCTGGTGTTTTTAGACCTCTCTACAAAGACAGTTGTTTAAGGGAGAATCCTATTTGAGTCTAGCCTTACTTACTAGCATTCATCTAATATACTCAAATATAGCAAATTGATTCCCAGATTTGGAAGGCTTATCACCATGGACCAATACAGAGATTTTGATTGGGTCATTATTCCATGTAAATTGCTTTGTTATTTGCTTCATTTAAAGAAGCCCAGAGCAAATCCAAAAGGTGGTCCTTTGGGAAAAACAGTACTTTTCTTTCTTTCCTTCTCTCTCTTGAAAGAAAGAAAGAATTCTGAAAGGTCGCTGTCAATTTTTTCTTGGTCTTTATGGCATGCTTCAGATTCATTAGAACATTATGCAGCGACAGCCTAAAGCTACAATTTGGGGTCCCTCCAGAGGCTTAAAACTGTCAAATCCAAAAATTGCCAGATAGCAATTCCTAGAGGAATGGAAATCTGACACATGTTTTAAGTCATCAGTTTGAACAAGGCTGGCCTAGAAAATTGTATCTTCAGCATCTCTTCAAACTCACTGCTGGTCTACTAAAGCGTTGATGGCATTTTATGTTATGCCACAAAGCAATTAAGAAAAACTCTTGATCCAAGCTAGAAGCTCATTGTTACTGAGTGTTTTGTGCACCCAAAGGCTTCTATAAAACTCAGAAACAGCCTCTCTATGCTGTTGTGTCATTCTTTACTTAACATATGTGGTATTTTCCCAAGGCCTTCCTGTCCTCTACCATCTTCTGGAGTCCATTTAAGCTCACGCCTACTGCTTCAGTGACTCCATCCAGCCACCTCATTCTCTGTCATCCCCTTCTTCTGTTGCCCTCAATCTTTCCCAGCATTAGGCTCTTCTCCAGTGAGTCCTTCCTTCTCATTAGGTGGCCAAAGTATTTGAGTTTCAACTTCAGGATCTGGCCTTCTAAGGAGCAGTCGGGGTTGATCTCCTCTAGGACTGACCGGTTTGATCGCCTTGCAGTCCAGGGGACTCACAGGAGTCTTCTCCAGCACCATAGTTCAAAGGCCTCAATTCTTTGGCACTCGGCCTTTCTTATGGTCCAACTTTCACAGCCATACATTGCAACTGGGAAAACCATGGCCTTGACTATACGCACTTTTGTTGGCAGGGTGATGTCTCTGCTTTTTAGTATGCTGTCTAGATTTGCCATAGCTTTCCTCCCCAGGAGCAAGCGTCTTTTAATTTCTTGGCTGCAGTCCCCATCTGCGGTGATCTTGGAGCCCAGGAAAATAAAATCTGTCACTACCTCCATTTCTTCTCCATCTATTTGCCAGGAATTGAGAGGACCGGATGCCATGATTTTGGTTTTCTTAATGTTGAGTTTCAATTAGAGTTTTATCCCATCTTTATTCTTTTTATAAATAACTCAAGGCACCAAGCATACCTAATGATCCATCCTCCTCCTATCTTCCCCTCAACAACAACCCTGGGAGGTGGGCTGGACTGAGAGAGAGGGACTGGTCCAAAGTCACCCAGTTGGTTTTCATAGCTAAGGTGGAACTAGAACTCACTGTCTCCTCGTTTCTAGTCCGGTGTTTGTATCATGAGACCACATTGGCTTTCAAACCTTGTTGCTGGTCCTCCTTTCCTCTTTACTTCCACCTTTCCCAACATCGGAACCTTTTCCAGAGAGTAGGGTCTTTCCATAGTTAGTCTAGATAAGAGCACTCATTTAAATTTTGACCCTTATTTATCTGCAATTGTGAGATTGATGGCCAAAGAGTAGCATCCTGTGCATTCTTGAAGCCTCAGGAAACCATAATACTCTCTTCCTTTGTAAGTGGATAAGGAATATCTTTGTCTTGTAGAAAACCCTTTTCAGGTAACTTTGAAGACATTTGAAAATTTACTGCATTGACTGAAATAATAAGATTTTTCTTTTTTCACAACAAATGTCTCAGGAACGAATAAGTTCTGTGAGGATTGGACACAAGCATTTCTGAACGTTTCTGAAGGGGGCAATCCCTTCCTTTTTCGACAAATACTGGAAAACTTTAAATTGAAGGTAACTATCAGTGCTGGGCAAGAACAATGGGAATTGTAGTCCAAATGCATCAGCCGGGACACTGGCTTAGAGATGGCTGCTATTTGTGATTTTTAGAAATCGCAGTAGATGAAATCTTTCATGTACCATAACTTCTTTTGAGTCTCGTGTGTTTCCCAACCCACAAATCATAATCTTATTTTAGACAAAGAACTGGGTTTAAATTAATCTCCAGTAGAAACCAGTGTCAAAGTTTCTGTTGTTCTAATACTACCAGATTGCTTCTTTACCAGACACCACTGGCTTGGATCTTCATGCTGAGACACAACAATTGTGGCTCAAGTATATTTGTTCTAAAGCAGTGCGATCTGAGTCCTGGGTTATAAAGGGTGGCTTTTGCCTGCGTGATTTGATGCTGCCACAACAACAGCCATGCAGTGTAGGAACACATAATATTGATTATTTATTTATTTAGCATAAGGCATACAGGTAGTCCTCGACTTACAACCATTCATTCAGTGACCGTTCGAAGTTACAGTGGCACTTAAGAACATGACTTGTGCCCATTTTTGCAGCATCCCCGTGTTGATGTGATCCAAATTCAGATGCTTGGCAGCTGGCTCCTGTGACGG